CCCCCCCCGTGGAAAGCGTTGCCCAGTCCTTGTGTTTTTAAAGGGGTTTTTTAGTTTTTTTTTTTTTTTTTTTTTTTTTTTTTTTGGTCGGCGTAACCCAGGGTCTGAGAGGGAAACTTAGCATACACAACCGAGCAAGTTAGTTTCCTTGGTCGTTCCAGGCAAATTTCAGAATATGACCCCAGATAAGACCACAGCCACGACCACTTCCATGTTCTTTCCAAGTCATCATTCACCATTCATCCTACCGTCTGCTTCTTTTGTACCTGAGATACTGATTTATTATTATTATTATTCATGTACCTCTTTTCATTGGCTACCAGACGTCAAACTGTGTTGTAATGCATTATAAACATGACATGATGCGAAGAGTTCTGTATTCTGGGATATAACACCGTGTAATCCGTTTAAAGTTGGTCGATGTTTCGGGTGAGCATGTCGCCTCCATCAACAGGGTGGAAGAATAAACCAGGCAAGAAACCAGCATGCAGCAGGTACCAAGCAGAGCCTGTACAAAGGAATTTTTTTTTTGGTCCCTTTCAGTCTGTGTTTGACATTTGAAATGTATCTCATGTACCCCCTGCTGAAGCTTCAGGTATCTTTAGTGATTTGAATCTTGAAAGATTGCCACTTGAGTCAACTTGCTTGGTCTCACGATACTGTACCCTGAAGATGGGAACAGTACATTCCTCTAAAATGTTAGCACCCTCCTACCAGACTACAGTAACATAACCCAGGAAACCACTTTGGAAACTTCAAATCCAATGTAGAACTGAAGACCTTATCAGATGGATGACTTTACAGACAACAGTGATGAAACTTTGGGTTCCATAATAGCAGATATGATGAACAATTGTTATCTGTTCGAGGATGATCATGTAAATCGGCAGTTCATGGTTTGTATCTCAGAAGGGACACCATCTGTCCTGACCAAGTGTTTTCATGTTTTTCCTTAGTCCCTCCAGGCATGTTTCAATACAGTTTCTAAATTAGACTATGGCCACTTTCTTTCGTGTCCCTTCCAGTTCATTACTCATTGTAATCCAGTCATTTGACATAATTGTTACTGACAGTGTTGTTAGATAAACAACAAGCAAGCCACAGTACCCTGAAGATGGAGACAGTACTCGTATGCTTCTCCAGGATGTTGGTAAACTTCTGCCTAACTGCATCAAATCCTGGAAGTACTCATGTAAATTAAGTTCCCAGAATATCTTTCTAGTCCAGATTTCTTTACATATTTTGCAGTGACTTCTATCTGTGAGGCAGATAATTAATTTTGTTGTACCTCATAATTACCAAGTGTTTCATTCCAGTGTAATTCTGCATGTCTTAATAAGATTTGTCTCTCTTTCAGCATACCCAAATCTGTTATTCTCCACATCAAAAGATATTCGAGTTGCCAGTGTTTCAAGACCCAACAAAGTAGTGACGATTGTCAAGGTAAGTTTTCCATATTCATCTTGTAAAGATCCTTAGTTCAGTTCCTCAGAAATAACTAGAAACAGCCGCTAGCTTTAATGACATTTTGTATGATCATTGTACCACTGGAGGTCAGTTGACATAATTCATTACCATTGATAATCGTCCATGATATGTAAGCAATGCCCGTCTTTTAGTGCGCTCAATTTTACTTGTTACTTCACAACATGTTTCGGCACTACAGTGCCATCATCAGGTGCTCTATTTACATCAGTCTGTTTCATTGCTTGCCATTACGTCATTGTAAAATTTAAAAAGTATTTAAAAATGTTCGTCGATTATAATAAATATATATACTAAAACTTGTTAAGATTATTTATCTTATCTGTCCCAATTCTAACACCAATTCTAATTACAACACCCGCAACCAAACAGGGAACACGCAACACGAGACATGATATACCCTGAGAATAAGAGGAACAACTCCCATAGTGGTGAAACTATGCGTGGTGTTAGAATTGGGACAGATAAGATAAATAATCTTAACAGGTTTTTAGTATATATATTTATTATAATTGACGAACATTTTTAAATACTTTTTAAATTTTACAATGATGTAATGGCAAGCAATGAAATCGATTGACGTAAATAGAGCACCTGATGATGGCACTGTAGTGCCGAAAGATGTTGTGAAGTAACAAGTAAAATTGAGCGCACTAAAAGACGGACATTGTTTACATATCATGGACAAAGATCAGTGCAACAGGACGCTAAAATACAACATTACGATTGATAATGCCCATATAATCGCCATGGGGACTTCTGAAGTGAGAGAGTAACTAGTGATGTCCAGTTTTTAAATTTGAGCTTTTGACTGTTGTTTTTATGGACAGCTGTGATATGGGCTGGAACTTTGTGTAGTTGTAGTGTCCCACCCAGAAACCTTAACTTACAGTACTTCTCATAGCTGTGAATATAAGGCTTACTGTCTTCTGGTTGTGGCATGTAAGGTAGGAAGCAGTAGGTTTCTCCAAAACATATGTAGCTTTCTGCCAGACTACAAGGCTTCACATCTAAGAAGGCAGTAAGTAATCTGCGTGAATTTACGACTTCTGAAAATGTCTCTTTTCACATGTATTGGCAAGGTTTGTTTCTTGTAGGATTTGGAGGAAGGAACAGCCGTAGATTTTTACCATGAGGGCAACTTGGTATGTTGGACTGATAATGGGCTTGAGATGATACAATGTGTACCTTACAATGGAACAGTCACAGGTGCAAAGGTAAATTGCTTATAATTGTAATACTTTTGAAAGCTGTAGATGTAGTGATATTTCATTTTGCCTACCCACAATATTGCCTGCACTTACTCATTAGGTCATTGTACAGCTTATTGGTTAAAAGGATATCTTATGAAGCAATAGCTAGAATTCTTTGTGTGACTTACTGTTGTTGTTCACAGGTTAGAGTTGTAACAACAGGTCTGATTTCACCAGCTGGACTTGCATGTGATTGGTTAACACAGAAGTTATATTGGACCGATGATGAGACCAACCGTATTGAAGTGGCCACCATAAATGGAGAGCATCGGAAAGTTCTCTTTTGGGAAGACATTGACCAGCCACGTGCAATTACTCTTGTTCCTATGAAGAGGTACTGTTGCTGCATTCCTCTGTGTTCCCGAACTGTCCCCAGCCTCGGCTGCCAGCTTCTAACAGCAGCAGCTCACAACAACTGAACCTCAGCAGTATGCTAACTGACTGCACCTGAGGATAATTGATGAACTATTTCAAAGAAATAGCGGCTCCAATCTAGAAAACTGAAATTAACGGCCGTGGGGATTCGTTGCGCTGACCACGCGACACCCTCTATCTGCTTAAGTCGGAACTAACTTCGCCGACAAGCAGTGGTCCCTCAATCAGTATAGTTCGCTTGCAGACTAAAACCATGGAGTATCTTAACAAAAGTTATGCTTGTATAGTAATACAGTTTTGATTTTTTTAATAACCTGATTTGTTTATTTTGATGTTTCTTACTTTGCATTTCATCCCACATTCAGAATTTGCCCTTTCATATTTCTGGATTACATCACAATAGGTTGATCCCTGTTTTTTCTCTTTACAGCATAATGTTCTGGACAGACTGGGGTGAAGTTCCAAAAATTGAACGTGCTGGCATGAATGGTGATCCTACAACTCGCAAGGTTATTGTCCACGAAAACATTTTCTGGCCCAATGGTTTGACTGTGGATTATGATGCCCAGCTGGTGTATTGGTTGGACGGAAGGCTCAAGTTTGTAGAGGTGATGGACTTTGATGGCCGGAACAGAAAGACCATCATTAAAGAGGGGGTGAACTATTCATTTGCACTCACTATGTTTCAGAACAAGGTCTATTGGACAGATTGGAAAACATGGTAAGTCAGAAGTTCTGTACTGTTGAGTATTGATGTAATTTCTGTCTCTACATTGTTGTTTTGTAGTTGAACCAGTTAGGTGGAATATCTAATACGTGGTGCAATCTAAAAGTTCCCAAAATATATTAATAAAAACTATTACGTTTTACCTGGATCTTATTCTGCACCATCACCTTCAAAGTAGTCCCCTTGGGAGCGCATACACCGATCCCAGCATTTCTGCCACTTTTCAAATGCATCCTGGAAGTCTTTCTTTGTTAGGGTGTTTAGTACCGTCTGCGTTTCCGCCCAAATTTCCTCAACTGTATTAAATCTTCGCCCCTTCAACTTGATTTTCATCTTGGGGAAGAGAAAGAAGTCGCATGGATCTAAGTCTGGCGAGTACGGTGGGTGGGGAACAACTGCCATCTTGTTTTTAGCCAAAAATTCCTGCACAGTGTAAGCCGTATGTGGTCGTGCATTGTCATGGTGGAATACCCAGTCTTTCGTGCACCACTTCTCTGGACATTTTTTCCTCATGTCCTCCCTCAAATGCCTTAGAACATCGCAATAGAACTCTTTATTGACTGTCTGACCAGGAGGGACGAACTCCTTATGAACAATCCCATCAATATAAAGAAAACAGATCAACATGGACTTAATGTTGCTCTTGACTTGTCGAGCTTTTTTTGGCCGAGTTGAAGAAGGGCTATTCCATTGCAACGATTGATACTTACTTTCAGGGCTGTAGCCATAAATCCAACTTCCATCACCAGTGACATCCTTCAAAAGAAGAAAGTTTGGATCCTCTTGAAGCTGTTGTTGAAGTTCCCTGCAGGCTTCCAAGCAATGCTGCTTCTGTTCATTTTGCAGCAGTCGTGGCTGAAACTTCACCTCAATCATCCTCATGTTCAGTTCCTTTGACAAAATTCCTTGACATGTACTATAACTTAGTCCCAAGGTGTTACAGAGGTCTTGGATGGTCAGTCTACGATCTTGCAGAATCAGATCCCTAACTTTCACAACATTTTCTGGTGTGGTGGCAGTTTACGGCCATCCCGAACAATCATCATCATCACTCGATGTTCGGTCATTTTTTAAATGCTTATACCAGTCGTAAGTTTGTGTCTGGCCTAAACTGTTGTCACCAAAAGCTTGCTTCAACATTTGGTGCGTTTCTGCAGCTGTTTTCCAAAGTTTAAAACAAAACTTTATACAGACACGCTGCTCTCTCAGGTCAGCCATCGCAAAACTGCAAACTCACGGAAACATAACAATGGAAATACGTTCACCGACAATAAACCCAACCACTCAAGTCGACACAGCTTGCCACACTGATTCAAGAATGGTGTGTGGGGGGAGACCTAGCAGTATTTCGATGTATTCATAACCATTCGCGCTCAAAATTCAAATTTCTGAAACTTTTGGATTGCACCATGTACATTGGCTGATGGGTGTTTTTACCTAGCTCATGTAACACCTTGGTGGCTGCTCTAAATGACACCGTTCCTGTACTTGCTGCTACATATAACTTAACACCAAGTCAATGCCATGCATTTGCTATTTTGTTTTAATATTTTTATTGGTCAGGTAAAGACCACAGAAGAGCATAAAGCTGCCATCTGTTGTTGGCAACAAAATACTAAAATAATCTAATTGGGAACCACAGAATAATCTGTGCTTCAAAATGTCTAGGAATTGTAATATTGCTATTTAGACAGTGCACCTAATGACGTATGAGGGATGATGTTGGTTAGCACTGGATTAAGGGCTCCTGCAAAAATACAGGACATTTTTGTTGCAAATGACCAACTTGCCAAATGTCCACTTGTGTGCAGCCAATCATAAAATGATTTCTATATTCAGTTATTTTTTTACTGTTATATAACATTTTTGGGTCATGCAGTAACATAGTTGGTTGAGGCACTGTGCTATAAGCTGTAAGGTTACGGGTTTGATTCCCAATGAGGTCATTGGATTCGTCAGTTGACCTAATCCTTCCAGCTGCACTCTGGCCCTGGGGTCGACTCAGCCTCTAACAGAAATGAGTACCAGGAATCTTCCTGGGGCATAAAAGGTGGCTGGTGCTTAAGGCTGGCAACCTCACCATCGTCTGTGAGCAAGTTGTCCAGAAAATGTGGAAGCTTTGACATCTCACAACCCTGTGGTCCTTCATGGCCTGTTACAGGGGTAAAGAAGAAGAATATCAACATTGTAGTAATGTAGAAGGCTTGCTACAGAATAAGCAAATTGTTATCTATGATTTGTTACCAAGGATGTAGAGAAGGCTGAATTATGTTTTCAAAAAGAGTTATTTTTATTATAATTTTTTAAGCACTGTAAAGTCTGAGTTACTGATAGTATCATTAAATAAACCAAAATTTTGTCAGGAAAGTACTATACTTTATTTAAATAAATGCATTTAATATAAAGTTTATAAGTAAATACTTTTGTGCTCATTCCTGCCACACAGTGTGACCTCAAGTCTCGAAACATTTTCTTCTTATAGGTCAATTCATGTTTATGATAAGACATCCACTGCACCACCCAAAGAGATCATCCATGGTGATTATATTCCAATGGATATTCACGTGTGGGATGCACAGAGACAGCCACCAGGTGATACTCCCTGCCGTCACGGAAATGGTGGCTGCTCCCATCTATGCTTGTTGGCTCCGTATCCACCTGGATACTCGTGTGCCTGTCCCACCGGTGTCAAGCTCATAGACAACATGACATGTGCTAATGGTAATGCCCTGAAACACAGCTGTGAAATAAGAGAATTGTGGATTATTGTCTTTAGAATGGGGGATTTTAAATCTGTCATTATGTCGTTGACTGCCAGGTTTTAACTTGGGAGTAACAGTACATTATCCAGGAACAGAAGATTTTAAGCCCCCTTGGGGGTTGGCATCCAGATTTTATCTTGGGGGTAACAGTTTGTCATCTGGGAATAGGAGCTCTTAAAGCTTGTGATACTGTGGGGAGGGTACATTTACATCATAACTTGGGTATAACATTACTAATATTGAAAAAATGCAGCAATCAGGAAGTTGTGCCATTGCAGTAATGAGACATGTTTTTGTTTAAGGTTAAGCAGTGAAACTTTGCTTTGGTATATGAGGGTTTCCTCAGCTTATAAACTGAGCAGTTTAGCTCGATATATAAAATCATGATGTGAAACATTCTTTTGAGTGGATAGCACTCCTGCTTCTTCAGAAGATCCCCAGTTCAGATCTCATTCCAGAGACTGAATTTCCTTACCAAGATTTCTGTTGTTTTCCTTAGTTCCCGCCAGGTAGAACCCATGATAGTACCTCAAACTATGCCACAACCTCTTCCTTCCATTTCCTTTCCCATGTATTATTAACTGATAATCCTTTCATTCATTACTATATGTAGCCTGAGATACCGAGAGCGCCGTTAAATAAACCATAAACAAATTATGTGTTAAGAAATCTAATGATATATTCTGGATGAAAAATTAAGGGAGATGACTAAGGAAAACTTATAAGGACAGTGAGTTATGTTTTGCTGTTTGGAATATGCTGAGTTTGTGCTGATGGATGATGTACATGATGATTACAACTGCAGAAATTGAAGAAATTTAGGCAGAAAGGTAATTAATATAGTGGAAGAATAGGCATCTTATCTTACAGGAAGCAAGAGTTCATAGAGGAGTGCGTCATCATGCTTGATTTGTATTGTGGCATCTTGTTGTTTCAGGTCCTCAGGAAATGCTGATTCTTGTCCAGAGAGTTGAAATCTGCACCATCTCCTTAGACTCACCAGACTACACCAACTTTGTGCTTCCTCTCAGTGGAATCAAGCACGCCATAGCCGTAGACTATGATCCAGTAGACGGATACCTGTATTGGACAGACGATGAGGCAAGTTCCATGTAACTTCAGAGGACAAGTTTGTTTTTATGAGTTGCAACTGCTTGGTCATTTGTTATTTGCGACACTTTACAATGCAAAAAAACCTCAGGAAAGAATTTATGACATCTGGCTTAAAAATGTTTCATTTTGTGTGGTGAAGTTTGTGAGAACTGCCAGTTAATAATTACAATGAAATACAATACTATACCGTACTACAAACATCAAGGAAGAGGACAGTGGGAAGACCTTGAGAGAAGTGCAAAGATTAATTCACAGAGAAGTGGGATGAGAACAGGCCAAGAGGCCTGAACCTTGTATAGGATGATGATATCAATTTTTGCATGATTTCTTTTAGTTAACATTGTTATACAGGATGTCCATAAAGTCTCTTTACAATTTCAAAAATTTATTACAAAGGCAAATGAAAAGACAGATAAGTGGAAATTATTACAACATGAGATGTGTATATTTAAGTTTTCTTTTTGCCTCATTTAATACACCTCTATATGGGCACCATTAGTTGCACGAAGCACATCAAGACGGTACTCGATTTCTTGCCATGTTCGCTGTAGCATACCCTCATCAACGGTGGCAATGGCATCAGTGATCCTCTGCTTTAGATTAGTGATGTCTCATGCCGNTGCTCTTGACTTGTCGAGCTTTTTTTGGCCGAGGTGAAGAAGGGCTATTCCATTGCAACGATTGATATTTACTTTCAGGGTTGTAGCCATAAATCCAACTTCCATCACCAGTGACAACCTTCGAAAGNCGAGGGGAGTGACATCTGGCGAACGAGGTGGCCAGGGAATTGGGCCTCCCCTTCCAATCCACCGGTCTGAAAATGTTTCATTTAGGAACCCACAAACATGCAGTCCCCAATGTGGAGGTGCACCAACTTGCTGGAAAATGATGGTTGGTGGAAGGTCATGTAGTTGTGCCATGTATTCAGTTGAAAGATTNGAAGTTCCCTGCAGACTTCCAAGCGATGCTGTTTCTGTTCATTTTGTAGCAGTCGTGGCTGAAACTTCACCTCAATCATCATGTTCAGTTCCTTTGACAAAATTCCTTGACATGTTGAAAGATTAAGGTAAACATTTGCAGTAATTGATGGCTTGTCGAAGAAAAACAGACCAATGATTCGATTGCACATGATCCCACACCATACATTCACCTTTGAACTATCTTGCTGAAGTTCCCTAGTCACATGGGGGTTTTCTGATCCCCAGATTCTCACACTGTGTGTGTTCAGTTTCCCTGAAACATGATGCAGTTAACATGCTGGAACGAATGTCTGAGGATGAAACATTCAACCAAGTTTGTTTTAGTGATGAGGGAACCTTTCATGTTTCAGGGTGTATTAAATGAGGCAAAAAAAAACTTAAATATATACATCTCATGTTGTAATAATTTCCACTTATCTGTCTTTTCATTTACCTTTGTAAAGAATTTTTGAAATTGTAAAGAGACTTTATGGACACCCTGTGTATTAACTTCAGTTACCTTCTTTGCCAGAAACTGCCTTTGACATTAGGAGCTAGAAGCACACTTGATAACTAGCTAGTGAGTCCTCAGACTGTTGAAATCTTCCATTTGAATTTAGGCCAGGGCACTGCAACGAGCTCGACTAGATGGCTCAAGGCAAGAAAATCTGGTAGTAACAGAAGTGGAGCATCCTGATGGACTTGCAGTGGACTGGGTGGCCCGCAACCTGTACTGGACAGACACTGGCACAGATCGAATAGAAGTGGCTAGACTCACAGGAGCTTCTAGGAAGGTAAACTGCTTGCTTTCAATATCTGTGATACAGAAGGATGTATGGTATAGATCCTTTGAGTGGAACTGAGCCAATACTAGGCTGCTGTTAACACTAAATCTCTTGAACAGTCGAGCAACTGTCAGCTTCTCAAGGAGGGCTGTGCTCCAAGGAGTTGTTTAGAAACTAGTAAGTGAATACAGTACACTCATGACGGGGAAAAGATGCATAAATAACTGGAAACCATGGTTGTTGTTGAATGTAGAAAGAAGGAAATGTGCACATAGTATCCCATTTGATCACTTGCCTCAAAGACTAAAGAGTATTGGTCATAAAATGCATTATCTTTTTTTTTACTAAAGACAGTTTTCACCCACTAAAGATTTACCAAGTTGTGCTCAAGATGTGTGAAAAATCCAGCGTACTTCTCCACATTGACCTGTTACTGGCATTTTGAATGGGTCAGTTTTATAGTACTTATCTGTATAAAACTTGAAAGAAAATCCCTTTAGTATGCCGTGTCCCACTTGTGAGACTTGATGGGCAGTGCAGTGGGATGTGAGGTCTCAAAAATAAAAAATTTCCATTAAAAATTAATGTAATATTAAAATGTAATTAATTGTAAAAGTACACTTTATGGGAAAAGAGGAGCTTTATTGTTGCTGTAGTGGAACTGCAGTTTTCAAAATATTGGTTGGAGGGCATTCAAAATACAAAACGTCACTGTTCTGACTTACAGGTATTTTCTTGCTGGTGCTTCATACATGTTAGGTCCTGTAGTGTGCTTTCAAAACTTCTGTTATATAGTTGTCTTGTGGATTTGTTTTGGAAGCAGAATGTAAGGATTGCTGTCTTCAGGGATGTGACACTCTGTAGGTTGGTAGACCCTTACAGATATTTTGGATGAATATACTGCCTCCATCTTCAAGACTGAAGACAAGCTAAGCAGCAAGTAGAGTAATTCTGTTTGCTGGTTGCTTGCTAGCTCGCTTAGCTTTTCTGCTGCACCGCACATTGTTGCTCCCTGCATTGTAACATTGTTCAGGGGCGCTGCCATGAGGCCTTGAACCTCACAATTAAAATATATATGTTGTTCTATGTAAATGGGGATCTGTTTTTTGCAGGTGTTGATTAATGAAGATCTGTTTGAGCCTCGAGCAATTGCTGTTGCTCCAGAAAAGGGCTGGATGTTCTGGTCTGACTGGAATGAGAAGGCCCCTAAGATAGAACGTGCAGCTCTAGACGGCTCCAGCCGCATGCACTTGATAGACAGGGAGCTTGGTTGGCCTAACGGCATTGCTTTGGATCTAGTGCGAGGCAAGATCTATTGGTGTGATGCTAAGACAGATAGAATTGAGGTGAGAAGTGATATTGTGTTGACTAAGTTTTACCAAAAGAGGATTTACTGGGGCCATTTCAACAGTTGAGCTTCTCAAGTGCTTAATGAATTTATTTGGTTTTGTTCTGATTTCAGTTTAGTGTTGCAGGAAGAGTGGCAGATTTGTTACTCTCTTCCAGATGGTTGAAATGTCATAGAATTTAATATCAGTGTACCTTACTGAATATATTAATAGTGTAGCATTAAGAATCTGTGGAGTTTTACCATCACTGCCACATGTCATCATGGTGATGTGCTTTGCTCTTTAAAATTAATGTATGTACCATAGGCTCTAACAGTAAAAAAATACTCTACATTTTATCTACAGAGTGTATTTAATTTGGGTTTTATGTGATTCTTAGAATAAACGACAGTTATTTCCCTAAACAGCATTAAACAGTTGGTCTTTGTAATGGAAATATATTGTGCTTTCTCTGAAGCAGGAAGTGATTTTTTTAAAGTGTTATTTAGAAGAATTTCAGGGTCCTCTAACTTTTTCAAAATTAATTTTTGGTCAAGTTGAGAAATCATATTTGTGCTTGAACATGGGAACAGTAAATGTTGACTTCTCAATTCTTAGTACTGCTCTGAAAGTGGGGCTTTTGATTTTAATAAGTTAAGTATTCTGAATCATATCTTTGTAGGAAAATGTTGATTATTTCTGTAATTTCACGAATTTTTATTGCCACTCCTAGGTTTTAAAAGTGAATTCGGCTTTTAAACCAAATTTTAACTTTTCCTTTATGCCCCTACAACTTTTATTTTGAACGTCTTGATATAGTTAATCTATAGTGACATGCAGAGAAAAATATTTATGCCAGTATGCAGTGCAGTGTTTGTAGCTCTGCCTTGTACTGTATCTGAGTCTGCTATAAGGTATGCAGTCACACACAGCAAACTGAAAATATGTGTACTTCAAACTGTAACTCTTATGTGCTTTTCTCTCTTTATGTGCAAGTTTTTACTTTTTTTTTTATTGCTAGGTTGCTAATATGGTTGATGGAAAGGACCGTCGTGAAGTTATAAGCGACAACTTACCGCATTTGTTTGGGTTGAGTCTCCTTGGAGACTACTTATATTGGACAGACTGGCAGAGGCGAAGTGTTGATCGAATTAAAGTTACTGGAAATGGACGAGAAGTTATTGCTGACCAGTTGCCCAACGTGATGGGATTGAAGGCAGTTCGACTGGGAGATGTGAAAGGAAGTTATCCGTGTACATATAACAATGGGAACTGTAGTCACTTGTGCCTCAGCAGACCACATGATTACGTCTGTGCATGTCAGATTGGTAAGGTTACCAGCTTTTAATGTTCCGTTTCAATGATACCAAGTCAGTCCCAGTGTTAAACTACCTCCATTTAAGATTTTCCTCAGTTTACTGTTCACATCCAACTGTAGCAGGTAGAGGGTGTGATGTGGTCAGAGCACCGAATCCCCATGTCCATTAATTTCGGTTTTCTAGACTGGTGTTGCTACTTTTCCATTCAAGTAGCTCCTCAATTATCCTCACAAGGCTGAGTGGACCCTGTTCCAGACCCACTACTTCTCAGAAAATCTGGTAGCGCTGGGAATCAAACCCAGACCTCTGGATCTGTAGCCAAGAACTCTGACCACTAGACCACAAACTTTGCCAAAACGCGCCCATCGCTTGGTTGGTACAGTTTGCTTGTGGACTAAAACCATGGAGGTCCCCCCCTCCACACACAACCACTACTCCCTGAAGAAACCATAAGTGGGAGTTTCATTGTATTTAGTATTTTAAGTCACCACACAACAAAATAGCTTATTATTAATCGAGACAAACAAGTTGTCTGAAGAGCTGACACTTCTGATTTGTATTCAAGGGGTGCCTAGTTTGAATCTCAGCTGGAGTAGCTGTTAACCTGGCTGAGGTTGTCTCTGGTTTTCCTCAGTCCCTCCAGGCAAATGCCGGGATAGTGCTTTGGACTATTCATTGACAGCTTCCTTCCATATCCTTTCCAATTCATCATTTACTAATCATCTGACCATTCAGTACTGTATAGTCTGAGGTGCTGGCAGTGTCACTAAATAAATCATAAATAATCTATAATAATGAAAAAAAAGTTGAAGTCATTAGGGTTGACAGTTTATATAAATGTCGGTATAATTTATTTTGACAAATGCCTTGGAAGCACACTGATAGCATCCATCTTAAATTGTCTTGCTTCAAATCAAACACATTCACCAGCTTGGTGTATGCCTGCTCCAGATGCCTGGCCACTCAACAGCATTGTTCATTGCGGTATGTAATCTTGAAACTGACATAACGTGCAATCTGTCTGATAGATTTTGTTCAGATTTCCACTGCTCATCTAGCAGCATGTCCACGATATATCAGAGGATGGTGGTTTTAATAATCAGCATGCATACACGGGTTTTGTTTCTGGTTTTGAACCACAGGCATGTTTGATTTATTCTATTTGTCGTGATTTTGGGTCTCACATGTTTCAGGGTACTCTTTCTTGGTTGCAGGTTACGAATTAGCAGCAGATCAAAGAACCTGTGTCGTTCCAGAGGCATTTCTTCTGTTCGCTCGAAAAGAGAACATTGGTCGCATAAGTATTGAAAATGGTAATAATGATGCAGTCATTCCTGTGACAGGAGTAAAAGATGCCAGGTATATATCCATTCTTCTCTTTTTCTGTACAATGTGTAGTCACCAGAAGCATTCTCTTTTCACCACATGTTTACCAGAACAGATTTTTTTTCTCCTTACATTCACCAAAACAGTTTTACCACATTTGATTTGTTTAATTCTGGTCCGTCACACTAACAGTTACAAGGAAAAAAACAACTCCGTCTAGTGTGACTGTTTAAGTATAAGTGTCAACAACACAGCAAGCCACGAACAAACATGGACAATACTAAGAATCTCCTTTCGCAAGATAGACAGGCGGCACAAGATCAGTCACCTCCAAGAAAGACGATAGGAGAATTGACACGAACCTGCATGGTTTATAAATTTTAATCTTAAACAACAAAGTTTTTAAAAAACTTTAAAAATTTTAATACCAGGAAGGCTGCTGTGATTGTGAAAAGTTGACCATTGTGTATTTCAGACATTATATGTGTATGTATATAATTTAACACCTATTGTAATAGTAGTTTCTGGAAAAAGTTTTGATGCCCTCTGAGGATGATCCGTAGGGATCGAAACATGTAAGGGTGTTGAGTTTTCAAGTGATAAAACTTAAATAGTCACACTAGATGGAGTTGTTTTTGTCTTTGTAGTTTTACCACACATACATCAGAAACATATTTTCCACTGTAGATTTATCAGAAGTTTCCCCCCCCCATATGTTCAGCAGAAGCATTTTCTTTCAGAGCTGGAATACATTTCATAATTTTATTATTGTGTATTATTTGAGTAAATTTTTAGGTCATTATACAGTTGTACCTTCTTTCTTTTCGGTGTCTCTCCAGCCATCTTCTTTTGCTCTTCCTCCTGAGATTATGTGGTTTTCTTCAGTTCCTTCAGGTAAATGCCAGGCTATTACCGGCTTCTCCTTTGAGGCTTCAAGCCTCACAAGTAGGTCGCTACTTATAACTACTGTCACGTTCACCTACACGTTTGGCGTTATAACCGCCCATTTGTTGCCCTTTTGCCTGCGGCTCCGTCTAAATAGTAGTGCAAGGAGCAGGAGTCGATGATCAGCCCCTCTGCTCCGATGACCACTCTGACGCTGCCCTACCTGGTGTTGCCGCTGCTGAAGTTGCTAGGTCATGACTGGTTTCGGTGTGACCCGGCTCCACCGCTTCTTCCTTCTGTTGAGATTATTGGAGGTTTGAATTTCAGGATGGGAACGAGTTAAGTAAGACAAAGAGAGACCATACGGTAGAAAAAGATGACGCTAATAGGACGAACAATGTACTCGTCAGCAATCAACAGTGTTGAGGATCAAATTTGGGATTGAAAATTTAAGTCATTACCTAGGTGCCTGGAGACTTGCGAAAAGTGTTTTGCAGTGAAAGAGCAAAGATGACAACACATGGACACGCAATTAGGTTAAGAATGCGATAATCAGCATTCATGCGTAATACCGTATGCAAGACGCTCCGCTAACTAGGCCACTGGAGATGGTCATATGAGTAAATACACAGCGATAAGACGCAAGAGGTCCACCCCCAGCCACATAGAATATCCAATGAGAATATAACTTTGGGAATAGAGGACACGGAGGAGGAGTTAACTACCCTCTGTCGTCAATGCCTAATCAGCAAATTAAAACTATAAATTAGGGAATTCCGAGAGAGTTGGGAGTCTAACACATAATATTCGGTTGTCAGCCGAAGGCTCTCTTCAACATGGGTTTAACGAGCGCTGGAAGGGCCAGCATTCTTCTATGTCAAGTAAGTCTTATTTACGCTTAACAGCCATGTTGGTGAATCATATTGTCTAATAGCATTGGTGATGACAGTGTTGTTGAGTTTTTCCAATGTGCAAACCCCAGTGTACCCAGTGAGCCCTTGGGCCAGGATACTAGGATCATGTAATTGCCTAGGAAAATAGTCAGGCAAAAGTGTCTTATAGTGTAGATGTCGAGATTACGGTTAGCGTGTAGTGGTAAATATAGTATGTGAGAATGTAATATAGATAGTCAAGGTAGATTACGTTTTGAGGGAACTTTATGAAAGATAGTAGAATCGTATATAGCGAGTAGTAAGAAATGTACAAGAGGAAGATGTATGTTAACGAGGAGGACTCGTACAACCTCATTAGTTAAAGAGAGAGAGAGAGCGAGGTGCAAGGCCTCCACCCCCGAAAGGGGAGAACCTGAAGACACAGAACGAGCAGTAGGGACTTTATGTAGTTACGACTGAGAGTCGGTCTTGTTAACAATGTAAATAATGTAAATCATATATATATATATATAATGTAAATAGACAGCTAGAATAGATAGGATAGGATGTACCGGGAGTGTAATTCATATTGATAATCCACCTCCCACATCCGATCCCGAGTAATCCTGACCGGCGAGGGCCGAACTGACACAGGAGCAGTGGCAGCCGAAGACG